GATGATAACAGTGTCTGGGGACTCCGGATGTTTTAGGAGAGTCTGAGATAAGTTTTGAAGTTTCCAGGAACAGAAAGGGAGAAGTTGGAAATTAATTCCACTGAGACTAGGATGATCAGAATAACGGTGTGATGCATGTACCGTGTTTTCCTTTTATTTCAAAGTAAAGGGTTAAACATCAATTGTAACAGGCTTTGGATTGAGGTTTATGACAAATCAACAATTAAATGTTGATTTTCTTATTTCAAAGCTTCATTTTTATCAATGGAAGTGGTCAATTTGGTTGTTTTTTTTAGGCATTTTTATCAATTGAAGCAGTCAATTTGGTCGGATTTTAGGGAAAACACTGCATGTGTATTCTATATCACACAGAGATAAAATGAAGGAGCATTTGCTTAATTATTAAATGTTCTGCTTAAGAATTGTGTACCAAAATTGATCAAATAATTCAGAGAGAAAGAGAAAGATTACTCAAAAAACTCTATGGTTTTACTGCTCACTTCCTCTATGTAATATACCTAATTCTCACACCCTGACTATTTCCATGGGGATAATTTTGGTTTCCCCCTCCCCCTGATGATTGTCAGATACAGGTGAGAATTGCTGGCAGTGATTACCTGTATTTACCTGTTGAATTATACCTGGACAACAAGTCATTTCTGTTTTGTTTTGATGATAAGATCAGCATGAAACTCGGAACTACGGATATCTCACTAATTAAATGTGCATTTTGTGCAAATGCCATGTGATGAAGTAGTAATTGTCATTTCGTCTCTGGTTGCTATGCTACAACTTTTGCATGTATTTGAAATTAAGTCACTGTTCAACAGCTGCAAAGACTTCAGAGGGGGATAATATGATTTGTCGTTATAGCTTAAGTGTAGCGGACTCCATTTAATACTTCATGGGGGTGTATATATATATATAGATATATTAATGGTAAAGGGGAACATCTGATACGGTTTCTATTAGGAGTCTCCTGTTTATCCCAGACTGAGATATTTGATAACATCGCAGTGGTATGTACAGGTTGACTAGAGATTTGACTTTTATTTTAAATGTAGAGATTTATTATAGAGACATCTCTGCCTTTGTGACTTTTGAAATTTTTTATCCACGGAGTCTGTTGAGAATGCTTACATGTTGACTACCGTTTGGGGTTTCTTCTGAGGGAAGAGCTTGAGACTTGATCAAGAGACAACATCTATTGCCCGTGCGACTATTGAAATTTTTATCTGTGGAGTGTGTATCTGTAGTAGTCTTGTGGAGTTTTAATGGCTTCCTAGAGATTTAGTAGGAGTTAACAGAAAATATACACACAGGATTTTTTCTTTTTTAAAACTGTACGAGTTTGACTCTGCTTTGATCCATCTTCCTATCTCTGGAGCGGGATAATTCTATATATTCAGTGTTAAGCTTCAGCTAATGTTTGACTTTATGGATGTTCACATCGGAGACAGTAGTAAAATGGTAATTATTAATTTGCTTATTAACTTGAGACTTGGTTTTTAAGCTTGGTAGCTTGAGTGAGGATTTAAGCCCAGTGAGTTGTACGAATATAAACCTCTTGTGATTTTCCTGACTGAGACTTGGTGATATAAACCTCTTGCGATTCCCTTGACACAATATATTTCATTCCCAGGAAATGAATCCAATGACGCTAATTTTATTGGGTCTCGGAGACATTATAGTATCAGGTGTGAGACATTGAGTTCTATAGGATATATACGACTGTGTGATCAATACAGGGTTATATAATATCTGTCAACAGAATGATGCTGAAATTCCAGGTACAACAACAAACTCAAGGATTTTATTCTGACTGCTGTCATTTCCTTTGTATTATTGCAGTGGAAGAAAAAAAATCAATGTATCGTATGCAGATTAAGATAACGGAATGGCTGTGATGCTTTGTTTATATATCCCATAATTAATTAAATTAGCATGGCGAAAACAAATTCATGTTGCATATAACGCTCTTTATATAAATTAAAAAATTCATTAACATGTAAGAATTACTTTTTATGAAAGGTTTCTTTGATATATTTAAATTTTTAAATAGGAAAATGTAATTTTTCTGTGTGTAGGGGATTCACTGTTTTAATTGTGTAAATTACATCGAACTGCATGATGAAATTAACTAGAGTCTGCAGGAAAGTTAATTTGATTTTTAAATTTTGTAAAAACAAAACAAACAAAAAAAAAACAAAAAAAAAGAATGCAGTCATGGGTCTAGAGAAATTTAAAATTAATGATGTTGCAATTCTTACAGAAGGGAAAAAATCTTGAAGAATTTTTAATCAAAATGTTTTTATCAATAAATTCAAATTAGAAATTAAATTTCTCAATGCTTTTACAGTTGACTTTTAATTACAATTATATACAATGCAGTTCTTTTCATCACGTAATGTATGGAATAATTTCTATTGTAGTTGCGTAATACGCAGTGACAAACAAAATAAATTTTTACATAAATAAACTTCTGTGACAGTAAATGCTTTTTAATGATGTGACTAATAATTACTGTGTAACGAATGTTTGTTAATTAATGACTCTAATGAAGGACTCTACCTATAGGTATCATATGCTCAGTTCACTTGATTACCCTTAGTGAACATTTAATTTGAGTCGTATTCACCAGGTAAGAAAATGACAGGTCTGGTTAATTAAGGTCCCAAATTAAGACGTTTGCTACATTCCAGATGCCTGTACTTATAAAGTACACTAATTTCTTTATTTATTTCATATAGCACAACACTTTTAAATGTAATGCATCATATTAGTTTAAACTATAAATGTAGACAAGATTGCCCTCTATGGAGTACTCTGTTGGGAATATATATATAGTTGAATGAATAACCTTGTTTCTTCTTTCTGCTTATCTGAAGAAATTCTGTGTACTTCTGCATTAATATTTTAAGCTTGTATATTAAATTTTATAAACATGTTTACCAAGTGTACATACGCATAGCCATAAGATATATTATTAAAAATATTGATCAAGTACTTCTAATTACATACAACTAATTTCTGTAAATGAATCATCATGAAGTTTTGTCAAGCCTTAATTAGAAAAATGAAAATCAAATGATGGTATATCAGTTGTATTACATATCTCTATGTGCTTTGTCACATCATGATGAAAAACATCCCATGTGGGTGTTGAGGAGTAAAACTCTCAGTATGGCTGTTTAATTATAACCAGTATCAGTATGGCTGTCTAATTAACCAGTATCAGTATGACTGTCTAATTAACCAGTATCAGTATGGCTGTCTAATTATAACCAGTATCAGTATGGCTGTCTAATTATAACCAGTATCAGTATGGCTGTCTAATTATAACCAGTATCAGTATGGCTGTCTATTTAACCAGTATCAGTATGGCTGTCTAATTATAACCAGTATCAGTATGGCTGTCTAATTAACCAGTATCAGTATGGCTGTCTAATTATACCCAGTATCAGTATGGCTGTCTAATTATAACCAGTATCAGTATGGCTGTCTAATTATAACCAGTATCAGTATGGCTGTCTAATTATAACCAGTATCAGTATGGCTGTCTAATTATAACCAGTATCAGTATGGCTGTCTAATTAACCAGTATCAGTATGGCTGTCTAATTATAACCAGTATCAGTATGGCTGTCTAATTATAACCAGTATCAGTATGGCTGTCTAATTAACCAGTATCAGTATGGCTGTCTAATTATAACCAGTATCAGTATGGCTGTCTAATTATAACCAGTATCAGTATGGCTGTCTAATTAACCAGTATCAGTATGGCTGTAAAATATAACCAGTATCAGTATGGCTGTCTAATTATAACCAGTATCAGTATGGCTGTCTAATTAACCAGTATCAGTATGGCTGTCTAATTATAACCAGTATCAGTATGGCTGTCTAATTATAATTAGTATCAGTATGGCTGTCTAATTAACCAGTATCAGTATGACTGTCTAATTATAACCAGTATCAGTATGGCTGTCTAATTATAACCAGTATCAGTATGGCTGTCTAATTATAACCAGTATCAGTATGGCTGTCTAATTATAACCAGTATCAGTATGGCTGTCTAGTTAACCAGTATCAGTATGACTGTCTAATTAACCAGTATCAGTATGGCTGTCTAATTAACCACTATCAGTATGGCTGTCTAATTATAACCAGTATCAGTATGGCTGTCTAATTAACCAGTATGACAGCTGCTTACACAATCCGACACATTTGTCTCTTCTCTGCTGAAATCTCAGTTTGACAATTTCTTTATACAGTTTGTAAGAATTATAACATTTTAAGTACCTTTCTGTAAATCATTTTGTAAGAAAACTTTATTTTTACAATACATGTATTTCATGTTTTGTGTGGGTGGTAGTTTGAAATGTTTAAGTCCAGCAGATTTTGGTAAATTTGATTACAAACCAATGCAGGGTTTTAGCTAATGCAAGCTTTTACAGAACTTTGATTTAACTCGTGTGAAGATCTATAATTGAGAGACTTGGTGCAACATTTTTTTTACTGTGAAAGTAAATTTCTCCATTTCAGTGCATATCTAGATAAATCTAGTAGATAAATATTTAAAGCTTTACACAAATGGATTGGAAGTTGTTTGGTTTATTTTTAGAGTCCTTGAATCATTTTGTGCAATGACATTTAACCACAGTAAAGTGATATATGAGAATTTGCTTCTATATTGGCTAAAATTTTCCATTTATTCTTGATGTAAGGGAAATAACTGCATCCTAAATTTTTGCAAGTTTTTGGCTGGTGATTGCAGTGCATGTACTTAATATAGACCAATGGCACCAATGCTTTAGGTTCTAGATACAAGGAGCTGCTATCTATCAAACAATAAACTATATAAAGGCCGGGGTCTGAGATGATATAGGATTTTTTCTTCAGGAGTATCTGGAACTGAGAACAATTGCTTCATTGTTATCTTTATAATTTGATTAGGAAATTAACAAACCAGTAGTGTTTATGATTGTTTATATCTATTTTTAGGTACGTACCCTATTTGTTAGTGGTCTACCAATGGATGCCAAGCCTAGGGAACTCTACCTCTTGTTCAGGGCGTATAAGGTAGGTATCTATAGCAACCAAAACAAGCGCAGAATTCCTCCATCAGAAACTTGTATCAGATAATCATGATAATAATTATTAATTTTTCATTGATTTCATTATATGTGATGATTGCTGTTTTTGTATTCAATTATTTTTAGCAGTTTATGAGAAATCTTTAAAATCTGATACAACAGTTGACCTGGCTTGTAGGTCATAGGTCATAAAGGTCATACCCAGCTGTATAATGTAACTGTCTGACCGATATATCTTGTGCGAGGTGAAACATTCAGTAAATCAATGTGTATAGTATAATCTTTTAATTCCACCATTATGAAAATTGGGAAGGAAATGTTCTTTCTTTATTAGTGATTAATGCTTTGATTGTTAAAGGATTAACAGAAATTATAATACTATTTGAGATTAGCATTAAATCTCTGGGTTAGGAATTGTCTCATTTTCTTAAGAGGGAATGAAAAATGGTTTAGGGACTATGATATCCTACTGTCCTAAATAATTATTTTCCTCATATCTTTCTCCATATTGTAAACTAGATTTACTTGCATTTCGTCTTTATCCTCTTCTTCTGTTGGAAAAATGTCATCATGATAAAAAAAAATCCAATCTGTGAATATAGGGGTGTCCCACCTTAAATGTGAAGGGACGATCCACCTTAAATGTATGTAATCTGTGCCAAAATTATTGTCTGCAGTCAGGCATTTATGTCTTCTGACCATTTAATGTATAAAATGTAGCATTTTATTGGTAACATTATTATTTACATCATTCCTGCCCATTATTAATGTTCATATGGTCATCAATTTTGCCTCTGACTCCATGTGTTGTTCATTACGTATGATTTAGTAGAAAATAAACACACCATTTCATGTGTTGGTTAACTGATTGTGTGATGTTAATTAACTAGAGGGCAGGGAATGTAGAGTAATGTTTTATATGTGTTTAATCCCCCTGCAATAATACTACTCCCTTTGTGATAACTAATTACTGCTCCCTTGCTGCTATGTTAGATATCCAGATGTTGTATTGTCAACCCAATTTATACCTTGTAGATTTACCTCCCTTTGACTCTTAATATGTACCTATATTGAGCAGAATTTATGAAAAGTTTTCTATCTTATTTTTTTTCTAATTTATAAATGCAGTGATAAGCATGTGTCAGTTGATCACACTTTCTTAAAAAAAAATGTCACAGTCTTATATTTATTGAAATGTTTCAAGATTTTAAATATACATTTTTTCAATCACTTCAATTACTTACTTTCTTTTAAATTTTTTGTTTACATCAAACACAAAAGCACTTTTTTTCCTTTCAAAATGAATATTTCTGGATTTCTGAGAGCAATTAATAACATTTTTTTCACTACTCAAGAAAAAAAATTTATAATATTGAAATGGCACACTTCATCTTAAATTTAATCAAATGTATCTTTTTTCTCTAAGAAATAATTTTTTTTTCTAAACTTTAATGTTTTTAAAATAATTTAATATTTCTGATGAATTCTGGTCATTTTGTCACTTGTGGTTGGAGAAATGAGCCTAACCTGTCTGTCTGTCTGTGTGCAGTCTTTATTTAGCACTCGATTCTGCTTCCAGGGTTATGAAAATGCTTTGTTAAAGGTGATGGGAAAACCCGGCAAAAATAACAGCGTAAGTTCAAAGGTCACAGTTGTCATAACAGCACCATCACCATAGTAACCTCACAATGTCTGAGATTTGGCTGGTGCTATCACTTGTTTAATGTGTGGGAGACGTATGGCGGAAATTAACAACAAATCAAGCATGCTTATATTTTATTGCAAACTAACTGTGTGGTAACACCATATGACTATTTTTGTTTGTTTTCTGCTAACCCTATTAGGTTGTGTTGAATGCTATTAATATTCACATGATCTTATTTAAATGTTTTCCTCTGTTTGTTCTAGAAGTGGTTGCAGAAAAAAACCTTATTATAGTAAAAAAAAAACCCATTAAAGTATTCGTTCAAAGGAGATATGTATTTTTTTCTGTGATCACCTTTGAATAATTGGAGGATATTTGATGTCAAACTAAAAAGCCTTACAAGACTATAAGAGAATTAAGCCAAGTTGAAATAAAGTACATTTTCTTTAGAACTGCTGATTGCAAAATCGGCACTAAAGACTGTAAGGAATAATCATTATTTTATTGTCTATTGACTTGGTTTGGTCTCTTCCACGTCTTTAAGAGCTATAAATAGAATCATCAGCAGCATTGTCACATGACTCACATGGCACCATTGTTGCGAATGATCACATGTTTATTTTACAGGGGTACGAAGGCTCCCTGTTAAAAGTCACAAATAAAAACGGCAAAAACACGTCTGTAAGTACCCGACACAGGCCGATCCATTACAGAACATCCTGTCACCCCCTCTGTGTGTATCATTCCAATAGTTTGATTGACAATATATACTGGGATTGGACATCATTATGCTAATGGGGGGTGACCAGGATTCAACTTTTAGAAAAAAAATAGCTGATAAAACTAGAAAGTCCACCAGAAAACTCATCTAAGTCTTTATGACTTGGAAATATTTCTGTTTTATTTTCTACCAATTTATTTTCAAAAACCACATGTTTATAATTCAAAAGATAAAAGATTTATGTAAAGAGTGATCTGATTGGACAACAGTTGATGTCAGCTGATTTTGAATAAGTTGTTTCTGTAATGTGATTGGTGGAACAACTGCATGTCAGGCAGAGGGCATGTATAGGTGGTGGATAATTATGTAACCAGATGTTGTCATCTAGAAAACTTTTATCTGTTTTTCTATCCCTTCTTTCTTCATTTCATCTTTCCCTCCAATATACATGTATCACATTGTATGAAACCTTATTTTGATGTTCTTAGATACATGGTTACCCCGAGTTCAGTGGTATTTAACGATGTTAAAGCCTTGGTTGGCGCTAAAGCATTTGCTATTACAATTATTTTTGATTGGCTACTTATAAGTAGAAGTTTATTTGTGCTCACTTTTGATTTGAATAGCTGATATTAGAGTATTATACATCCCAAACATTTAATTTTCCTAAGCCTAGCATTAATGATTAGATATGCTACTTTCTCCCCTATGATGAACCCGTTTGAGTTATTTTCATGCATGAAATAATCCATCTGAATCATAAGGTATTTAATTCATAATCTCATTTCTAAATGAATTTTGCAAAATTTACATCATACATTTTATACAAGACAAAGTATTAAATAAATCAAAAATTGATTAATATTTATGTTAAACTGTAGCCATTGCCTAATAATATAGATAATAAATTAATTTATTAAAATGTAATGAATATGCATGAATCCTGAATGAATATTCATCATCAGAATAAAAAGCATTCATGAATCAAAGCTTTATAAACAAGTAATTTGAATTTCAGCAATTTGCCTATGACAATGACTCATGCCAATACTAGCTCTTCATTCTGGTTCAAATACAGGTTCTATTAATCATATTTCCTATACATTTATGTCTAATATCTTGTTAAATGAAGCACATACTTTAGAGAAAAATTTTGGAAGGAAAGAAAAGATTATTCATTCTCTTGCCCGATATTGAAGGAAACAAGTCCAAAAAGTTCAGAAACAAGTCAGTTTTAAATGTACTTGGAAATTCAGGAAGAAATCAGTATTGCTTACATTGAGGTCATCATAATCAGTCACGGTCCATCTACTTCAACATTTCTAATCACTTCATCAGTCTGATTCTCTTTCTTTCCTCTCTCTCTCCCTCTCTTTCTCTCTCTGTGATTTAATCACAGATGTAAATGAAGTTCAATATTATTTTGATACCAGTCTATATATTACTCTATAAGATATATGAGTAGTGAGTTATATCCTGCTTTTGACATCACTTTAACCACTGCTGTGCTGTGTAAATATTAACCAATGATACAGTGTTTTCACAATAATAAACATATTATTGCTGGTTTTCTAATTTCTGTATTTTCTATCTGTAAATAAATAACCTACCTTTGTGTTTACAGCCTGTAGGATTTGTGACATTTAGTTCTAGAAGTGCAGCGGAGGCAGCTAAACAAGATTTACAGGTGAGTGATTTATACAGGTTAGTGAGGTCAATGGTCTACCTGAATAGGTAAGTCATTTACCTGTACAGGTGACTGACTTACTTGCCAAGTATCTTATGTGATTTGATAAAATCTAATATACCCTGGTATATTAGTTAGTATGCATTTGTCAAAGAATGACTAAAAAGTGCTATATTGAAGATCACCATACTAGCTTAAATATTGACAACAGGTCTTTTTTCTTCTTGTGTAAAACTATAACCCCTTAAGGCTCAGCAGCTTTAGATACTGTTTATTCAGTTTGATTATCCTTAAATTTACAGGACTCCTACCATGTTTGATAATACTGTAAATGCCCTTGTTGTTTCCATGTGTCATACAACCAACAACATGTGATTTTCTGGTTGTTAGGTTTGATTCAGATCTTTCATATAAATTAATAAACTGTTGATATGTATTTTTTTAATTTCAGGGTGTAAGGTTTGATCCTGACTTGCCACAAACCTTAAGGTTGGAGTTTGCAAAGAGCAACACAAAAGTCACAAAGCCTAAACAACAAAGTCCACAGCCAGCTGCCACCCATCCTACACTAATCCACCCAATCACAGGGCGTAAGTCACATCACATGACAAAAACAGCCAATCTTAGGGCGTAAGTTACATCACATGACAAAAACAGCCAATCACAGGGCGTAAGTTACATCACATGACAAAAAAACAGCCAATCACAGGGCGTAAGTTACATCACATGACAAAAAAACAGCCAGCTGCCACCCATCCTACACTAATCCACCCAATCACAGGGCGTAAGTTACATCACATGACAAAAACAGCCAATCACAGGGCGTAAGTTACATCACATGACAAAAACAGCCAGCTGCCACCCATCCTACACTAATCCACCCAATCACAGGGCGTAAGTTACATCACATGACAAAAACAGCCAATCACAGGGCGTAAGTTACATCACATGACAAAAACAGCCAGCTGCCACCCATCCTACACTAATCCACCCAATCACAGGGCGTAAGTTACATTACATGACAAAAACAGCCAGCTGCCACCCATCCTACACTAATCCACCCAATCACAGGGCGTAAGTTACATCACATGACAAAAACAGCCAGCTGCCACCCATCCTACACTAATCCACCCAATCACAGGGCGTAAGTTACATTACATGACAAAAAAACAGCCAGCTGCCACCCATCCTACACTAATCCACCCAATCACAGGGCGTAAGTTACGTTACATGACAAAAAAAAACAACAGCCAATCACAGGGCAAAATAACATTGCATAACAAAAACAGCCAATCACAGGGCATAATAACATCACATGACAAAAACAGCCAATCATAGGGCATAAGTAACATCACATGACAAAACCAGCCAATGACAGGGTATAAAGAACATAACACCCCCAAAAACAGCCAATTACAGGACATTACATCAGTCTCAAAAAAATATCACAGGGCTTAAGTAACACAGAATGAAAAGGTCATTCACAGGTTGTTACATCACACACACACAAAAGAAGAAAAGCAAAAAAAAAAAAAAAAACAGCCAATCACAGGGCATAAATCACATGACCCCCTCCAAAAAAACAAACAAACAAACAAAAAACTCAGCCAATCACAGGGCATAACATCACATAACCAAAAGAAAACAAACAACAGCCAATCATAGTGCATAAATAATGTTATCACACTTTAAAATAAGCAGTCATTTACAGAGTGTAAGGATACTGCTACCTTTTAAGGTAATTTGAAGAGAGAAACCTCAAAAATTATTATTATATAAACATCAACAGTTTGCCAGGAATTATGTCACACTGGAAAATTAAATTAAATGTGCTTAAGTTTTACATGTATATTGACCTTCATCTATCTAATTTAAATCGTCATAGTTTTAGAATTCTTCAGTGAATAGAGGGTCTTTCCCCATTAAATGATATATGTATTAAACACCAGTTTTTCAGATCAGCTACTGAATAATAAGAATTTGAAGAATTCTACATGATTGCAATAAAACATTCTATAAAGATAATCAAAGTTACCGTAGGAAAGAAATGCCAGGGGAGATAATACTTTAGAGACGCACCAATGACACTTAGGGAATAGGTGTTTTGATGATTATGTAACAAATTGTGATTCAGTGTAACTGGTGTTGGACTTTTTATCAGTATTGAAATTATAGACAGATTTTGATAGATTTCAATTGTTATTAATACTTTGAGCATTTATGATTTAGCTAAATAATAGTTATAGCAGGGGTGTTTGAAAATAATACCGAGTTTGTTTATTTTGATAAAATGGGAAATTTGCTGTTTGCTGTGTTTGTTAATGGGTTTAGGTAATTTTACAGAAGTGTATCTTATGTATGTAGTTGTTTTGAATTTATGAGTGATGAATGGGTCATAAACTGTAGTAGCCTCACTAACAAGTACTCTGCTTTTATTTTGCACGTGTGGATCGTCTCCCTTTGCCTTTCAGAGGAACTTAGTGCAGCCTTTTTCCCAGGGGCCACCGAGACGTGGGCACCACATCCTCTGGCGGCATACCCAGAACTGGCAGCACCCACGGCGGCTCTTCACCACCATGCGGCGCTCATCCAGCACCCCGCGCTGGCACAAGTCCCGGTACGGGTTAGTGGTCAATTTTCTATACCTTTTACTGCACACGTGCAAAACACTGGGACACAACAGTCACCATGGCAATAATGTCACCTGGGGTATCCATGGCAACCACTGTTTTTTGGGGGATTTGAAGGTCACTGAAGGTCACTCTGTCACTAAGATTTACACGTGTGTGTGACATTTTGTTGTATGGATAATTTGTCTGGGAGGAATGTCAAACACGGACACACATGATTTAGATCACATTGTATATTTTGCTATAGCTGAGCACATTTACTAATCATACTAGAAAAGTACACATTGAAACAAAAAAATAAGTGAACAATAAACAGAGGCTAAGAAAGAAGATTTAATAAAGAGGTAATGTGAGGTTATATTTAGCAAGCAGTTTCTTCTTGGTATATTTATTAAACAGCGTGTTCAGCACTCACATAATTTGGACCATGTCTGCTTGGTTAATAAATTGTTACACAAACAGAGCAATTCTTCATTGGGACTTTATTTTCTTCATATATAAATGTGCCAATAATAACATACTGGTCCCCTATAGTTAGATCCTCTCTCATACTGTTTGAAAATCTTTGTGACAAAAATGATCAGAAATATTAGTGCAAATGAGACCTCCTTTCAATGTAATTGCCACAGATTATATGTCTGGAACCTTATGCATTGCTTCTGTTAAAAGAACAGAAAAAAATTAAATTTAAAAATGTCTAACTTATCAGAAACGGCCATGAATGAATACAATTTAAAATCATGAAATTTATTTTCTTCCTAGCGCTTTAACTAAGGTTGATAATAAGGCATGGATTTTGATTAAAATGTAACACAGAGGGTGATTTTAAGCTCCATTCCTGATGATAAAATTTACACTGATTTTTAAGTCTGTAGATTAAGTGTCAGTACTGGACATTAGGCGACCAAATCAAATCAGGCTTTAGATTTGTTAATTTAGTCTTGAATGGTTCTACCACTGTAAATCCAAAGGTTATTGCAATCATCAGACATTGTTCTGCCAACTTGATTAGAAAGGAATCTCCCATGTTAGGCCATGGTAACTTTTGTTAATCATTAGAAACCTTTGGGTCCATCAAAACTCCACCTTTTTTTATTGGAGATGATTTTGCCTTCATTGTTCAGACATGAATACTCCAGCTTGCCAAGATATTGAGCTAACAATCTTATTACATAGCAGATTTTGGTTAGCTGTTAGGAAACCACTTTGGCTGTTAGGGAATCACTTTGGCTGTTAGAGTGCCACTTAGTTCAAACATTAGCCTACCACTTTGATTAGACACAGGGTTAAAACTTTGATCAATTTCTTGATACCTAAGATACCATTATTGAACAGTTTTAAGTGTTTCAAAGACAGAAAAAGCCCTATATCATTTTGCTGAAAGTCCAGTATAAAGATAAAATTATATTGAATAAAATTGGGTATCATTAATTGTCGCTCTGGGCAGATTGGATGTGTGTTGTAAAGTATTGTGAAGTGTTGTAATCTCTGTGCTGGTAAAATAATACAATTCACAATGCTTTCTTACATTAGTCTGGTATGTTAGGTCTCTTTCAAATAATTGGTCCCTCAACAAAACATCATACAACAGATGTAATTAAGATTTTGAGACTTTCCCCCATACTTTCTTGGTTGTCAGATGGAATTGTGGGAATTTCCAGTTCTCTTCCTGTTGTCCCCTAATCAATGTTGTTTTGCACTGTGTTGTAACTGGTATACGGAGAGGCTATTTTTAGTAATGATTAATTTTAAAATTAAAGCCCTCCGGTGAAGAAATGAGATGTTAATATTCACACTGCAGCTAAGAAAAGACACACTGTCAGAAATGAGATCATATTGACTTGAGAATTTTTGTTTTTCAAATATTAAAAAAGTTTTTACAACTTTTTGAGACACTTGCTACATGTACAAACAAAAAAAAAACAAACAAACATTGGATACATGGAAATGCTGCATTTTTTTTTGGTTGTAAATGATGCGGATATCAAATTCAAAAACTATTAAAAATTCTTCTATAATGTTTAGAATTATTGTTTTAGGATGTTCCCCTATAAATCTTTACAATTTTAAATGCATTTTATAGAATATTTTTGAGAAAATTAAACTTGCGAAAAAAAATAAACTTCATGTAGCTGATATGATTCATTTTACTTACATTTTCATATTTCCTGAAAAAAAAGTTTGGTTGTAAGCAAGTGGAACATTAAATACATATAATTTCAAATGTTTTAGATTGTAAAAAAATATTTTTTTTAATTTTCTGAATGTGCAAATTTGGCTGTAGTGTGTTATGAAGTTAATTAATAGGTTGGAGACTTGTATGGTGTATAATTATTAGTTAATTAACTGTGGCTCTACTAATAATGAATCTTGTTTGCTTCTCCTGACTTCCTGCAAGGAATTCTCAAAATTCTTTTTTAAAGGAATGTTTCCTCTTCCTTTTCTATCTATCTATTTACTGTTTTGTACCCAGATTTCCTCAGATTTTGAATAAAATTCAAGTAAAACAAAAGAAAATTATTCATATGCAGATTCAGTTTTTTCGAGCCAATGAAATGGAATTGATGTATATTTATATTAAAAAATGAGAGTCTGAAATAAAAAAAAAAGGTCGCTTTTTGGATTAAACCAGTGAAATTTAATATACTAACAAAAATAACTTGGGGAAAAACACATAAAAGATGTTGTTTTTTTGCTTCATTATCAATTCTTTTATATGTAACCTTTTGACCTTGTTTTGTGACCTTTGACCTCTTGTAAAATTCTAGGAATGGACATTTCACACCCTCCCTCAGGTATGATAAACATTATTTACTTACTCTCTCACCTGGCACACACCGCAAACTGTTACCAAGGCAACAAACTCGCTCTTCCTGATCCCAAAACAGATTATAAAACAATCCTACTATCACACTATTTATCTCCCCTTCTAGCTTCTATTATAGAAGATTCTCAGCACAAATTATACACTTAATTTTGTAAAATCTAAGTACTGAAAAGCCTCATAAAACAGAATATCAAATGAAGTCCTATCGCATGCTACAATATTGATGCACCTGCTAAATTTATTTCAATATTGGCTGAATTTGCACATAAAAAGTATAAATTGTGTCAAGTTCAAAACTCTCAATAAAGAAGACCATTCAATTCTACTACTGCAGGTACTGGTTTAAAATCTGATCCATTCTAAGTGTTTCCTATTGAAATCAGACATGGATTCAAATATTTACTGCTGCACTGCAAACAAAAGCACCATGGCAACACTATATAGTCCTAGTAATAAGCACAGCTCCTATCTACAATGTTCTGTTAACTGAAAAGAGATGATAAACCATAAGTGAAGCTTTAAAGAGATCAGCTGAGTACTATTTTTGTAGGTCATATATGAAGAAACTTTTTAAGAATCCAGTTAAAACTTTTAAATACGAAAATCTCTCAATAAGGTCTTATTATACTGTTATAGGAATGGATTCCACATATTCAGGTAAATTTAATTAATTTTCAATAACTTTCAATAAAAAATTAAGTGACTATTCAAGCAGTGTTATTTCCAGCCATTTCTTTTTGCAAACATTGAGAGTTTTAAATCAGGGACAGCAACTTTGTTGGCTTGGTAAACTCTGATCCAGAGCACCTTAATCACACCAGCCCTAGACTGAACACCCATCAGCAGTCACAAGAATTCATCTGGAACACGCTTCTTAAATGTGTGTTCTAAAAATAGCATGAATGAAGCCTGCATGTGTTTTGATCAAAGCTCTCTTTCTCTCTTATCTTCTTTTAATTGAATATTCACCAGTCTAACCAAACAACAAGCCATTAATGATTTACGTACAAAATCAATTTGTATACCATACTGTATTTGTGAGAGAATTGTATTATAAAGGGATCCCTTCAATTGACTAAATAGGACTGTATTAATGAATAGATACTTTCACTTGTTTATATAGATGCTTTGTATTTGCATGATATGTCATATATTTAATTTTTCATGGGCCTCTCTACGTCTCAGCTGATGGAATTTACATTTAATGCTCTCAAAAGTTTCATTTTTTGATGTCTCTTTCTTTGGGTAAAAAGCAGTTTATTTTTAAAATAATAAAACTATAATGACATAAAATGGAAAAAAAGATATACTCTGGGTAAGACTTAAGCAACTATTTCAAAATCAAATGAAAAAAATATTTCTTCTCTGACTGCTCTCTGCTTTGACAATTTAGATTAAAAGACAATCAGTTATACCCAATCTTAAAAACCTTTTGATATGGTCGGAGAAAATGAAAAAAAAAATGGAGAGAAATTTCTCCCATTCAATTCATTAACCACTTTTGGTAGATAGAAATTGATTTTAATAAAGCTGTGATGTAGAGGGTCTGCACTGATAGAGAAAGCCAATGTCTTTTTCAGCACCCGAATTTTCTCTGTATAGAGCACACAGTACGGTGTCCTTCCCAGCATTCCTCAGATACACCTAGCCAAGGGGTGCATGCAAGGAGGGCTTCTATCACCACTCTCATTCATTGCTAACATTCACTAAAACCAACGTATTGCTCTGCAGCTTTATTTTATATTTTTGTTTCTCTTATTGCATATTTTTTTCACTCAACGTTTTGTATTACAATTATTTTTTCTATTTTGGGTACAAAAAAGATATATTCCTGTTTCTGGATATGCACCAAAAAAGTAACAAGTAAATTGATTAAGAAAATGAATAAAATCGAAAAATAAGATAATGGTTTGGTTCAGGGGGCATAGCTCTTTATATACTCTGTTTTTTTTTATCCTTAAGAAATGTGACACTTGTTTAACTGTAGATTATTTGTCCCCTCTGATCCTCATATAAGTGTAACAGTAGACTGAGAGAAGCTTTTCTATGTGTGGCACTATCTCCTCTTCTTTTTTCATTGCATTAACGTAGAAACAAAAGTTACCCAGTGTTTTATAGAACACATTTAGTAGTCACCACTGCAAATGACAAATTTTATAGCAAACTCGTATTCGTTATAAAACGTTCTGTTAATGACGTTACCTTCACACTTGAGACATTCACACAAGAAAAATGTATATGTTACAAGAAAGAATCCTTATGTGTAGACAAATAGTTGAGGAACAGTGGAATCCTAAAGCTGGCTTTAGACAAAAAGAGAAGGTAGGTTGTGAATCCGTTTTTGGACAAAAAAAGAATGAGCAATGAATGAAAGAAGTGGAATTGAAGCCCTCCTTTGTTCCAATGGGGTTTTGTCATCACAGTCCCCACACAAATGGTCAGGCTAATTCCTCACACAAGTCTTCTTTGTATCCTACAAGTTTGAAAGAAAATGGGGGATCTGTGTGCAGACACCCGAATTTAAAATGGTTTTCTGCAAGGTTTCTTCAGTCGATACATTTTTATTAAAGATTTGGATAAAATGTTAGAATATATACCGCCATTGAAAATTGAAAGGGGGGGGGGGTCTGAAGGAAATCCATCAAGATATTTCTTGACAAAAAAGAAAAGAAACTTAAATTTAAGGGTCTAGATTCCATCTGGGTACAAGTTCTCTTGACCATACACAGGATGTATGACACACTAGACCTTTTGGGACTGTACACCTCCCATGTCTTAGCTGTATCTGGGGACACAACCATATGCTGGGGAGGGACCCCTGACACTGACGCCTTGACATGGGTTATTATTAACAGATTCACCATCCCACGGTGGTAGCGCCCCCACAAGCTGTTTCTGCCGCCTTGCCACACCCTCCTATTGCGGCCACGCCTATTCTTACTAGTCCACTTAGCACTAGTGTCAGCACGACCGGTACACTGCAAGTACAGACGTCCTCGCAGAGCCCTGGGCTGTCTGTTACGGCACACACCAGCAACTCGCCCTGCTCCACACTGTTTGTGGCTAATCTCGGACAGTTCTCGTCCGAGCAGGAACTCAAAGACCTTTTCAACAGGTTAGTACCCACAATGCACCTTTGAAGCCCCCATGTTACATGGACTGGCGGGTTTACAAACGTGCTTTGAATTTCAAACATATGCATGCAGTCTCTGCCTTTAGAAATTGGACTGTTACAGGCCAGAGACAAAAGACAAAAGTTCCGAAAATTTAATATACAGTAAAAATTATTTTATGATATATATGACAGTTAAGATGGTTCAAGAATGTTTTGAAAGGTATGTATATCACCATACTTTAAACCATGAAGATTTTTTTGCTGGAAGATTTTCTTTGTATGGCTGATCAAAATAGTATTTATTATAACATAAACTGTAACGGATTTTGCAAATTACTAGAAAATTAAACGCAAGTTTTAAATTCATTTGAAAGACATAAAAGGTAAGAGAAGAAAAACAGGAAACCATATGGCGCGATTGGACACAGTGGCGTCAGGAAAACGTCTAGAAATCAACACATGCGTCTGGATCGAGACCCCCATTAAAAAAACTTATTTGCATGGAATCACTCAATCCCAACACACTAAATTATATATGTGTTCATTGTCCGAATTGGAAAAGGGTACACTGAATGTTTGTTTACCTATTAATTGTTTGTTCCCAATCCCAAAACATTTCCCCAAATCATTTTTACTCAAGATCGTTGAATGTGTACCTGTGTTTTTTGTCTGATTTTTGATGGTCACATCTGAATTAGTAACGTTAATCTTGTAGATATAACGTTAAGTCTTAAAGGTAAGCGGAAATGTTTAATCTCCATTTTATAGATCACAAGAACGTTTGACATCTTTACCATCATTTATAGATCACAACAAGAGTTTGGTAGACACTGATTACACCGTAGCTATATTTGAAGCACTTCAGCGCTTGGATGGAAGTAACTTTAAGGAGCCCCCTCACACTCTGTTTATACACCATGGCTATATTATTATATTGTTATTGTTTTTCTGGCTGATTTCTCAGTATACCCTGCATTGTAACAAAGACTTGATTTTTATCAGATTAAGCCATTAAAGGGATTCCTGTAAATTGCAATCAAACTTCGGTAACATAAAACATTCTTAGTTCTGGATTTTGAGTGTCTTGAACATTGAATATCGTGCGATTTTTGTGAGTTCGAGGCTTGAAAATTTGACTTACTAGTATAAAAAGTTTGTATTGAAAATACAACTTTGTAGAATTCTTGCAAAAAGAGTAAGCAGTATGTTTGAGTAAGGAAAATCATTTCTTGAGAATTTACAGTAATTCTGTTTCCTCTGATATAGATCAGGTCTTTGTGGCATGCAGTGGATGGACCATATCTCCATTCTGAAACAGCTGACCCCAGGAAAACATCTCACCTTTCATTTATCAAAATCTATACTCATGGTTTACATATCTGTGTATTTAAAAGTGCTTAATATTTTCAAACGAAAGATTCGTTCAGAATCTAATTAATCTATGGGAAAAGGTCTTCCTATCAGTTGAAAAGATCGTACATGAAAGGTGATATGTTCCAATGTTAAAATATACGTGCAGCCTAGATTCTTCTTCTAACGAGGATTAATCAGCTGTATCAGAAATGATCACGTGACCATATTGACAGTTGCTTACTTTTCTTCAGATTAATCTCTTGTTCTTCACTGGGAATTAATTTGAAAAAAAATATAAAAGCATGGTCAGTCAGGAGTTATTTCATCAGGAAATATAAGGAAGAAATCAAGTCTTTGTTGTACCTTTTCTGGTGAATAACAAATATGGTCCAATATTTATTCTTATTGCAATGAAAATAATGTTTAATTTCAAGTTAAAACGCAATCACAAATTGCCTCCCCTTGTTCTACTTAGACCACAATGAGTTATCTCCCTTGCATCATGATTGGAATGAGGATTATTTATATCGTTTAACATGTTCAGTTTTTAACAAGTTCTATGTTCTCTTTCTCTGTATATCGAGCTTCTCATTATTTGTTCCTTTTTTGGTCACAGTACTATATATATATATATATATATATATATATATATATATATATATATATATATATATATATATATATATATATATATATATATATATATATATTTATATATATATATATATCAATAAACTTTTTTCTTTCACAATAAAATTAAAACAGACAGAACACACCAAATATTCACGTACATGTATAGCGTTCTGCAACAAACAGAATGCAATAGGTAAATTAGCGTGTAGGTTCATATAGCCTAGTTGTAATAGATATCGAACAACGTGTAATGTAGCTATTGACTTGTCGCTTTATCAACAAAGCCAGTGCAAAGATTTTCAAGTTCCACTCGTTTGTTTTATTTGCTGCGTATAACTAATGAAATTTAAAAAAAATACAGACTTTGTTTACAAATTAAAAAAACCCCCAATAGATTTGATATTTTTTCCGGAATTTCACATTATTCACAAAGTATATCGCTTTGGCTATTTAAGAACACGTGCACGATTTTTAAGCATATGATTTCTTTCTTTTTTCAAAAATGTAATCTACAATGTCAACGAAATAGGAATTTTAAATGATGTCAACCAATTTTGGATTTTACATGTGTCACAGCGCTTTTAAAGTACCAGTTTTCATATGCCCAAAACAAATAATGTATATATATTTATATTTATCTGTTTAGGAACAAGCTTTAACAAACACAGTGGTGAATTACCTCCCCCTAAGTCGCCATTTTATTACTTTTGCATGCAGCCTCGTTTTCGGTCACAACACGATCCCCCTGCAGTTCTATATTTACGACACTGCTCCTGGGTTGGCGCTCCACTCATATTTACTTACATCATTTTGGCATTTTCATTTATATATATAGTAATAAAAATGAATACAAAGAATCGAGCACCATTTTCTTGTGTAATTTTAAGAATTATTCAGGAAGTTTAATAAAATATGGAACAGGATGCAAAAAGAGACAATGGAATAAAATGTTCTGTAAACCTGTAGAACAAAGATAATTGTCCAATTTATTTCATGGATGAAATTTATGATTTTTTTTTTCACCTTTTCAATAGTTGAATGTGCCTTTTTTATGTTTCAATATGCAGATTTGTCCATACATGTTCTGCTTTAAAGGACAGCAGAGAAAAAAAAAAAAAGAAAATCCAGCGTAAAAATTGATTTTTTTTTTTTTTTTTTTTTTTTTGAGAATTGTGTATATCAGCGTCTTTTGAGTGACTATGACATAATAGCCTTTCCTCTGGTTTTTAGTTTCCAGGGTTTCAGCCGGCTAAGAATGCATAACAAAGGTGGATCGCCCGTAGCTTTTGTAGAATTTCAGGTTAGTGATTTATATTTTAATTTCTAATGGTATACCTGACCTCAGCCTTGGTTTCAATTTTTTTTAGCAAAAATGAAAAAAAAAGGCTGAGTGAAGCCATCCTTGTTGTATATAGTTTAATGAAGAAAATAGCTTTGAAATAGTTTTGTACATGTAAAAATCATCACTAAAAAGGTTTGTCCCCCTGCTAAGGGAGAGAACATTTAAACTTACCCCAGACCAGGTTTAGGCTTAACATCTGAGCTAAGCTCACTTCTGAGAAACAAGTATGGATCAGGTTTTAAAAATGTAAGCTGTTTTTAGTGGTAAACCTGGTTTAAACAAAGGTGAGAATACGGGCATAATATAAGATTTGATTATTTTCCTTTATAATAAATTTGTCATCATAGAAAGAGCTAGGTTCACTTTATGCATAAAATGGCCTTGTCATCAGTTAAATGACTATCACGCTCTGTCCCATTTCATATATCAAAATAAAGTAGAGACTTAGTGCTTTCATTTCCTATAACAAAATTTCTTTTGAGAATCCAGGTATTGGAAAACAGGCTTTGAGAAAATGCAGTGTTCTTGAATTTTGCAGAAAATATGCGTATTTGACTACCTTCAGCAAAAAATTAAAATATGAGCATAGCCCACGATCCAAAAATTAAAACACATTTTGTGATCGTCAGAAACAGATCTTTCATTATGTAATTGCATATTTTGGATCAGAGGTTGTGCTCTATATGAAATATTGAAAAAATATCTCAACTTTTGGCCATTTTTAAGAGAATTTACAGGATATGAGAAAATTGACGCATTTTATGACGTCATAATGCATTGACGAGAGAAAATTACGTCATGTTCAATAGATACACGGTCAACAAGGGTCCAAGTTATAAATACTGCATTTTCAACCAAAACTGAGCAGTTTCGATTTTTCAGAAATTCTCAGGGCCAAAAAAGGCCCTAAATGACTCTTGCTCTTTGGTTCGTATGGTAAAGAAATTCTAATTTTTCTAGACTTCGCGTTCAATTTATCTCGGCAAATTGTCATGATTGCAGATGTATTTCACTTTTATAATAAAAGACTTCTTCTCTTAGACCACCATCACGGAATTTGTAATGCATTTTTTAGGTTTGTCACACATCAGTACGCTGGTGTAAGGGATGAGTATCGCAAAAAATTTTGTATCGCGATATATCACGATTTTTCCCGAAAATATATTACATTTTTACACGCAATTTTTACTATGATTTTAAATTAATTTCCATAATTTTTTTAACAAATACAATGTGAAAACATAACTTCACATTTTGCATTTTATATATTGATGAACCGCCCGAAATAAGGCTGAAATATTGCCGACTCGGCGTTAAACCCCAATCAATCAATCAATATATATTGATGAGCCTTATTTGGATGGAAAATATACCGTTATACATAAATCGCGCATCCATACAATTTTTCTTAAATGATGCTTTTCAAAAAGGAATTCAAATAAAAATAGAAATCTTCACAATTTCAACATTACCTTACCTTGCCCTTAAACCTGACGATTTTATTAGTGAAAAAGAGATATTTTAAAATCACAGAATTGTCTTTCTTATGAAATGGTTGATGAAACTTAACATTTGTTTTTATTTTACAGGATGTGAGACAGGCTGCCGAGGCTATGGGGCGGCTTCAGGGCTTCGTCCTTCTTTCCTCAGATCGAGGCGGAATCCGCATCGAATATGCTAAAAATAAAATGGGCGAGGTGGTGAGTGGACTTTAATGTTTCCCAACCCACCTTCCGACAATATGCAAGTAAGAACTGGGATTTTCTATATATAGCGCCATCATCCACCGCTTGATGCACCTTAAAAGCCAGGCAAGGGAGAAAACTTTATCTGGGAGAAATAATTGCTTTTACAGATACAAGGACAGTTTAAATTTTCACAATTGGTTTTGAAAAATAAGCTGCATGGTGACAATTTATGAAGTAATTTCAGGGGAAACATTATTATGTAATTTGGTTTTATGTTGTAGCCATGTATATAACAGCAGTGGACAATAAAATTATCAAAATTCGCAATTGCAACATGTAAGCCAAGTTTTTGAATTTTCACGAAATTCACAAAATTAAAAAAAAAGTTTGAGATGGGGTTGTAGTATTTTAGATTTGAGGTCATTTTTCAGTTACTTTCTCGTGCTTGGCTTGAATAGTAGTCACCCCTAACTGCATGATGGGATGGAAAGTTGATTAACTATATAGAAATATGGAAAGTTGATTAACTATAAAGAAATATTGTGTAATCTGAAAGGATATTAACGAACTGTTTACAACACAATCGGTAAAGCTTGGCACATTTGATTCTTTGCATCTCTTAAAGTTTATATAAAACTCTTAAGAAACTTGTTTAAAATATCTCTGAAGGTGAATTACATCCACTAAAGTTTGATTTTGTTGATCTTGACAACAGCAAAGATTTCATAAACAACACACTCTTATAACCAGTCATCTCAGCTTGTTTAATCACGTGTCACAACTATGCACTTCATTGTCATTCAAACGCTCTGCATGAATAGTTACTTAACAATTATATGATTATAAAATTGCTATGATAATTTATTCTTGATTATCTCGGCAAACTTCTCCAAAAACATTAAGGCATGAACAGGAACATCTAGATTTCTCTGTAAATTGATGAGACAGGGCGGGCACTGGTTAATTCCTTCACAGATTACCGAAGTATCTAAATCGGAAATCACTGAATTAGAAAAATGTAAAAAAAAAAAAAAAATTAAAAAAAAAAAATAAAAAATAAAAAAAAAGTATTGCTACACATGTGCTTTAAGATTTTTTTGCACTGTAAGGTTGAAATGTACATTGAGAAATCTTCACTAAATTCCTAAGAAGGTCATTGGGGGATAACATATTTTAATTACTATTTATAAAATCATAGATAACAGAGATCGCTTTTTTGTATCCATTAATTTGTGACCTATAATTAGCATCAGCGTTTCGAATACATTTAAAGAAGAAATACACATACACACCTTACACATAGATTAATTTTTTTATTTTTAATTTTCCAGGGAAAGAAGGACGAAACACTCGGTCAATCCCCAGTGGGCGTGACAACGATTTTCTCATGAATATTCATATGGTTGTGTTTCCATAGGAACACCTTTTTTCTCTTGTCTACTTGAAGATCCTCGTCTGTGATGATGGAAATGAAACATTATTTGGAGTAAAAAATTTTCATCCTTTGATAAATATCAACGTCTCATAATGTTTGATTGTTTGTTTGATTTTTTTTTCATTTTATTTATACTATATATAGTAACGGAGGTTTTTTTCTTTGGTATATCTGTTTATATATGAGATATTATACATATATATACGTATACAATATGTTCTTGACATTGTAGATAATTCATGTTACTTAATGTTTATTGTATATTTGATATTATCTATGTAATGAAATTGAAGGCATATATATGCATAAATTAATAGATAGATGGTGATTGGAGAAACGGGGTCAGCTGATGTCATTGTTAAAATATACGTGACTCAAAATTGAATCTTTAAAACATACAAGTAAATCTACAAATGCGCTCAAAATATACTGACAAACGTTCATCTATGAATAAGAAATATGGAGCCTGTGTCGAATTTGAAAGAGAATTCTTGATTTTATGTCACTTCCATGCTTTAGCATTGGGTGAATGGATTTTAGGGGATTTGATGTGAACACGTGGCATGACGTCAGCTGACCTACTTTTGTTGGCATTTTGACCCTCTGGGTGTGTGTCAGGTTTATTTAGATGTATTCATTATTTTGCTGTGATGAAAGGTTATTTATTATCGATGTTTACATTTTGTCAATTTCCCAGGGAATTTTAAAATCGTGTTTTCCCCCTGTTCATTCTTCGTCAGATTCGTCAATTTTATTGACATCATGGATTTCGTGTCAACAAATTGTTTTAACATCCGGGGACACCAATCAGATTTTTTTTTCATTGAGCTGCTACAAGATAATGTATATAAGAACCATGCATCAGACGTGTTTGGAAAAAAAATGTCATTTTTTTATTCAGACAAGTTTATAAACATTTATTATCCCCCTGAAAATTCGTGAATTCTATATGGTATGAAATTTAAAGTCATATATGGTTCTATTGGACATGTTTAGAATCATCTGAATTAAAAAAAAAATCGGACCTTTAAAAAAATCAGCTTATTATTACAGTTGCCATAGAGCCATAAACTGGGCTTATCCGAATTAAACAAGTACAGTGAAGCTCGTTTATAAGGAAAGAACGGGGACTTTGAAGTTTGCTTCCGTATAAAGAACATAGGGAATTGTCTTCTTTGGGATTCGTAAAAGTATCTTAATAACCGAGACTTCTAATAAGCGATTTCTTTATAACCGAATTTACTGTATTATAATAGACTTCAGATGAACAAAGTAATAAAGTGCGTCCGTCCATCCCGAGACATATCTTATGATAGAGTTGTCTTTTTATCGGCACAAAAACACGGTCATTTAAGCTAGAGGGTATGATGTTTTTTTTTTTTAATATTCCACTTTTGTTCCCTCATTTTATTTCCCACATTTTAAGCTTTGTTGTGACTGTAAATTAAAACAACTAACTAAAATTTTAATCACATCAGTTCTGGTTTTCTGCACTTGTGTTTTAAACGAATAACTGTGTTCGACAGCATTGATCTCAAAACTTCTATTTGTAATTTTTCAGAGAAGTAAAATAAGATTTAAAAAGATTTCTAGGTCTTAAGGGAAACAAGGAGAACTCCCTGTGAGTTGTTCTTCAACAGCAATATTGTGTAGACTGCTAAATTGCACCGACGCACTTGTTAAAGAAAACAAACAAGGTCACGTGTTTGTAACCCCAACCGTTTTAAATATAAACCAGCACATCCCGTAGAAATTGTTTCAGAAAAATATTGAAAAAAATGCATGCGGGGATTTAAAGACACAGTCCACGGAAAACAAATGTTATTTTCATTTTTTGAGTTCATCATTCAAGGTTTCACTTACCAACGATGTTGTACAGAAAGTAAACATTCCATTTTAAACAAATTATTTCCCCTTTACACCATGACATTGGAGGATCACTCCCTAGAGGATATAATCTATTTCCCTGACTATTTTCATACGTCACACAACTGTTGCGTCATACTATTGTTATAACGTCACAGTGCACTGTAAGATTTATTACTTTTTTCCAAGTCACACCTATAATAAAAAACACCCTTCTTTAGTTGAGTTTGTCAGTTGAAATTACAATCTTTGTATTGTTTTATTTATGATAAATAATAGTAATTTATTGTGTGTTTTTAAAAGTTTTTGTCAGTAGGCTAGATTAATTAAATTGAAATGGAGTTTTCGCAAAAAGTCGACAAATATGCAAATGTTTCTAAATTCATGTTGTTGATACGTAATAGTGCTGTAGAACTGATGAATGGAATGTGCGATTGTTATTATTATTGTGTTGTGTGTATCTATTTGCGTGTTGACCAATAGGATCACTTGTTACAATATAATGCTTATTATTAATTTTATATATTGCTTATATGAGTTTTGATTGTCTGTCTCATATTATTGTGTTACTAGGAAATCCAGTGATAAATCATTGAGGATTGTGATTGACCAATCAAATGTAACAGCTTATTTGATTGTCCAATCAGATAACTTGTTTCAGATATGGTTGATTTGATTGACCAATCAAAGGAAATATTATAGGCAAGGCTAAATCTACTTTGAGCATAATCATACCATATTGTAGAGGGCTATATTCTTTTAACACAGGGTATAGAAAATCTAGATACAGCTTCCTTGAATTTCAACAATCAACTTAAAAGTGAGATCAAATTTCTGTTCTTCTTAGGTGTCTTGTTAAATACTCATCTTTTTTTTTTGCAATATCGGTTTTTTTTATACTGACAAAGGATTGAACAAAAAAAGAAAAATTGTAATATCAAAAAATAAGGACCATACCAGGGGATTTAATATATGCAGAGCCCCTTAGCATGCAAACCATTCTATGCAGTAGTTGAGACAAATTTTTGTAGAATAACAGTGAATATCTTTGTTAAAATTTAAACTTCGTGGACTGTTCAGTTGCAGAATTAAAATAAGATTTATTTTACAATGTGAAGTAAAATTGCTTGTTTCTAATGTCAATGAGCTTTTGGATTTTGATAAGAGGATTTCAATTTTTTCATAAAAAATTAGATTTTATTGTATTAAAAAACTTTGAAATGTTTAATTTTTAAATACAGGAAACATTATTGTATGCAATATTCTTTTTACAGATATTTTACATCTTCGGTGAATGTCAGAAATATGTAGTGACATTAGCTGTAGTCAGTTTCATTATGTTTCTATATGACGTCATTGGTAGAGGGTTCTATGTAGAATATTTGTGTCTGAAGGACGTTAAAACATTCAAGGTCACGCCAGGGTATTCAGTCCTGATGCTTTTATCTTTTATCAGATTATGAACAAAATAAGAAAATGTAGCAATTGTTCTATCATGTCACAACACAGTTCTGTTTCCATGGTAACTTCCTTTCTTTATAGCCACATGCAGTGCAATGACTGTTGTTTGCTCAATATTGAAACTTATTTAATAGAAAAATGTTATTGCTGTAGAAATTATTGTAAAGTGGGACATTTTACGATTTCTTTACTTGCGGAATCTTTCGATAGATTAGATGAAAGGGCATTATAATGCTATCTTAACATCGAATTAGTCATATTCTGTTTTCCCATGATGCTTTGATTTCCCACATTGCAATAGACAGGAAGTTCTTTAAAGTATTAGTGTTATGCCATTGATGTACATCGTAGTTTTTTGAGTCATGTGACTCCGTTTATGTAAATTATATCATACATGTCTTTACATGGAATAAACGACCAACGTCACTTTTTCGTTGTGTTTATTGTGTTTCTATGTAAACATTGACTTAAAATCAAAGGATGGGGTCATTTAAATCCTAAAAGAACTCATTATATAGGCAACTTTATTCTAATAAGCCTGGAGCTATGAGCAAGGAGAAAATCTAACGAGATGGATCTTGATCGAACTTTCAGTTTATGTCTGGGTTGAATTAAATCATAAACCGTTTTCAAAAATTACCTTGAACATTTGACCTTAAACTTTAACAAAATTAAACTGAAAGAGATTGATATAGACATAACTTCAGATTCAGCATACTTAGAGGAACTCTTTTGCCTTAAGGATCAGGAGCAAAACTGGGTAAAATTGTAAAAAGATCCAAACTTTTTGGTTTATGTCTCGGTAAATTGAATAAAATATATGGAATAAAAGTTAAAAATCTTGACCGAAAGGTCAGTTTCAAGGACACATGTAAATCATATCCGGTACCAATTTTGATGCTTCAGATGCGCTTTTCGACAAATTATGTCTATTCAGTGATGCTCAAGCCGAAACTTTGGAAATCCAAACTACATGTATTTAAATATAAAAAAAAAAAACATGGAAGAGCTGAAAAAAAAAAGCGCCAAAGACTGGAGCCAAATACGTCGAACGATCAGAGCTATGCATGAGGGAGATAATCCTTAATTTTGGAATAAATTTCTGAATTTTACCGCAGCATTTAAATATATATCCGTATTTTTAAGATAGTACAGAAGTACATGTACTAGGTTATTGGGCTGTAGAGACCATCGGGGACTAACTGTCCTCCAGCAGAGGGCTAGACTCAGGGGTCATAATGTAAATCATATACGGTACCAATTTTGACCGTACACATAGAACAAAATTGATGGAGTGATACAATTGCTAAGTTTTGACAGGTTAGGAATAAGTTTTATAGTTAGCTGAATTAGTTGTATTTGTAATGATATTTATCTTACTTCCAATCTGTTGAAAATGAACTCTATCAATTAACATATTTGCAAACAAGAACAATTAAGATATTTGCAACCAAGAACATATTTTAAGACATTAAAAATGTACAACGTGAGCAATGTAAAGAAACAATTTTTTTCTAAGAAAACTTTCAAGCAATTTTACAGTATTTAATAAAGGACTAATGACCCTCTGCTCCAAATTTCACGAAATTTTTTTAAACTTCCCTTTTAATTCTGCAAGTGTTAATCCAACTTATACCCATAGCTCCCTTTCTAAGTAGAAAATTCTTCAAAACCATATGTCAGTTTTAAATATTTTTATTTCAAACAATCAAAAAGATTTTTAAATGCAATACCTATAATGGATTCCAAAATTCCATTTAAATCTTTACAAACAACAATACATAGCGTGTTCCAGTAAATGTTCTACCTAGCATCTTTCTTTACTCCTCACTTAAATATTTACAGCAGTGAAGGAGAAACTTGAGGAGTACTGTACAACAACATATTCCAGAAGTGGTGTAAATCAGACGTAGATACTTAAAACTCCAAGGAACTTTTAGAAAATTTGAATTTCAAAATTTTCACAAAATTAATAACATCAAATCGTACGCCTTTTCAACACTTTATACAACCATTTCCTACCAAAAAATAAATTCCAGACTTTTTGACGTCAGAGACAGCTGTTTTTTCAGTAAAATATACTTATTTTGTCATTGGTCATTTGCAAAATTATTTTCTTAAATAAACATTCTGATTGTACAGACAAGCACTTTGACTTTTCTATTCCAAACGTCTCTGAATTGTGGATGTGTACCAGATGACTGGAAGATGGCCCATGTAGTCCCCATCTTTAAGAAAGGCGACAAGAGTACAGCGGCGAACTACCGTCCTGTATCTCTTACAGCAATTTGCTCCAAGATCCTGGAACACATTCTCCATTCTAACATCATGGACCACTTTGAAAGGAACTCTATCCTTACACCAGCACAGCACGGATTTCGTAGTAAGCGATCATGTGATACTCAACTTATTGCCACAGTACAAGACCTTGCTAGTAGCCTATCGAATGGAAACCAGATTGATGTCATCTTACTGGATTTCTTCACCAAAGCATTCGATAAGGTACCACACCAACGTCTCCTCCACAAACTGAATTATTATGGGATTCGTGGCTGCACTCTACAATGGATAGAAAGTTTCTTATCAGACAGAAAACAGCGAGTATTGGTTGAAGGGATGTCCTCCAACATAGCAGACGTGAACTCCGGAGTACCTCAAGGCACAGTAATGGGTCCCCTATTATTTCTTGCCTACATCAATGACCTCCCGGAGGTGGTAACATCAAATGTTAAATTATTTGCAGACGACTGCCTCATTTACAGGACATTTCAATCAATAAATGACACAGTCCAACTCCAACAGGACTTATGTGCACTTGAGAAATGGGAAAAGGACTGACAGATGGCCTTTCACCCTCAGAAGTGTACCACTATCCACATATCTAAGAAACGCCATCCAATTAAAGAATCATACTAACTGCATAACCATACCCTGGAAGATGTCCTTGGTATCACAATTAGCAAAGATCTTTCATGGCGCGAGCATATTAACTCAACTCTGCCAAGGCCACGAGAACAATTGGATTTTTAAGAAGGAACCTCAGAAGTTGCCCACAAGCTATCAGAAGCAAGGCATACACTACGCTAGTACGTCCAGTATTGGAGTACGCGTCAGTGGTTTGGGATCATGTTCTACAAGATCTACCATCACATTGTGGAAGTTCCGGTACATCATGTGCTACATGTCACCAATAGCAGAACCCGTGGTTTTATGGCAAACAAAATCCGCCAAATCAGCACCAGGGTTGATGTCTACAAATACTCATTCATAACAGCAACTATCATAGCATGGAACAATATACCAGCCACAATTAGGAATTCACCATCAGTGGACACCTTCAGACACGCCATACAGTCCATCAGCGTGTCTGAGATTTTACACCACTAAAATGTCCACTTTTAACTTTTTATCCCTTTTAATACGGTGTACATAGATTTTTAGCCGTTCACTACGGAATTACTAGAGTATTGACACTCAAATTGAGTTCACTCCACTAAGAAAGAAGAACAAGAAGCACTCTGAAGTTGATATTAAAAAGATGGTTGAGTTACTGATTAACAACACATATGTAGATTTTGGAGGTTAGATCTTCCAACAATCTGTTGAAATTCCCATGGGTACCAATTGCGCCTTCCTATTAGCAGACCTATTTTTGTATTCATGTGAGGCTGAATTTATTAAAAAACGTCTATATGAGAAGAAAAAAAATCTTGCTGTGGCCTTCAACTCGACATCTAGATATATCGACGACTTAAATTATTATCAATTAATAATAGTTACTTCCATTTATATGTCGATTCGATATATCCTAGTGAGGTTGATTTAAACTATACCACAGAGACTGACACACCTGTTTTATATTTGGACATTTTACTGGAAAAAGATTTTATCGCTAACCTAACAACAAAGCTTTATGACTTGAATTTTTTCAATTGTCAACTTCCCTTACTTGTGTAGCAATCAAACTTATCACCTGCATACGGGGATTTGTCTCCCAGTTGATTCGACACGCAAGAGCATACTCTACGTATGCACAATTTCTTAATCGAGGCAATCTATTGACAAACAAGTTTATGAAACAAGGATATCAAAAGTCCCGTTTGAAGTCATCATCTTACAAGTTTTATGGTCGATACAATGATCTTTTAAGCAACACAACCCATCATTAAGCCAAATGCTGACTGACGTCATATTAATTGTTAGGTCATTATTTACACACTGAATTGTCTACGGATTTTTCCGTTTTTCCTGATCATGACAAGGAGCACACGGCAGGTGTGACCGGTCAGCAGGGGATGCTCACTACTTCTTGGCACCTAATCCAACCTCTTGTGTTTTTGGTGGTCTGTGTTTGATCTGCTCTCGATTTGTATTGTTTTAATGGACTTTTGAGCTCGACTACTATTCGTTATCTCCATATTTGTTTTGTTTGCAAAAAATATTCTTGGGACCTTAGTTGAAATATTAATTATTTTGTTCCCCGCTTTTGCAAAGGCAAGGGGACATTAAGAATACATAACACAGTAAAAAATATGTTGCATTGATTAATATTTTTTTTTACTATGTTGAAAAGACATGACATGGATACAGTCTTAAAATATAAAGAAATCCTAAGTTTTCTGTGGTGTTCAAATATGCAACTTTGTGCCACTTTCTGTATAAATCTACACAATTTTAACACATTTTCTGAAATTATTTCCAAAACTTCGATTTAGGTATAGGAACATAAATCGAATAGATGAAATGTGAAGATAACGAACAGTAATCAAGCTCAAAAGTCCCTTGAAACAATACACATTGGGAGCACAGCAAACACGGACCTCTGAATGTATCAAAGGTGGGATTAGGTGCCATGGAGGAGTAATGAAATATGGAGATAATCAAGCTCAAAAGTCCATTAAACATTACAAATCAAGAGCAGAACAAACACGGATTTCTTAAAACATCAAAGATGGGATCAGGTACCATGAAGGAGTGAGCATCCCGGTCGACCGGTCATACCCGCCATATTCTCATTGTCATGATCGGGAGAAACGGACAAATTCGTAGACAATTCGGTGTGTAAAAATGGCCTATCGATTAGTATGAAAAAAGTCTGTCCGCATTTGACTTAATGATAGATTGTATTTGCTGACAAGGTCAATGTATCGGCCATAGAACTTGCGAAAAGATTACTTTAAACAAGACTGTTGATATCCTTGTTTCATAAACTTGTTTGTCAATAGCTTGCCTCGTTTTATATATTGTTCGTACGTGGAACATGCTCCTGTGTATACATATTTCTTTGAATGTATTTAATAATGTGATATTTGCATTTGATCTCAGATGGTTCATCTATTTTTCTCAGCCTTGGCGAGGGTATAAAATTACAATGAATTAGATGAAAAACTTTATAACTTTCATGCAAAACCACTGTGAATACAGTA